TGACAAAATGGTTGGGTGAAAAAAGTTTTGATCCACCTCTGGTGAAAAAGACAAATTCTCGTCGATTCAGCTGGAAGCGGGTCAAATTTAAACTGCAGTTGAGTCATAGTTTGCTCTTTATTTTTTCCAAAAATCATTTCTAGGTAAATAAGTATCTATTTAATTAGAAACACATGGTTTGATGGCGAGACATCGAGGTTTGGACGGTGGCCGAGGACCCCAACTCTAGAGCGCGTAAGCTCGCATGCCCGTCGCGTGGTCACCGCGTGACCGTGGCGTTGCCATGTGTTCTGGGCGGCCTAGGCATGTCTAGTGGGTTGGGCACTCCCTAGGTAGGTGCTAGGAAGAAAATCATAACATAAGATTCTCACGAGGAGACCGATCGATGCTCAAACATGAATAAGCAGCCAAGTGTTTGATTTGTAGTACGAGAAATGCACATGGCTAATGGGTGTGAGTTTTGGCTGAGAATGATCAGTTACTAAGAAGGTCGTCTTCACAAATTTTCACCTCAAAAGGAGGAGCCTAGGTGGTACTTGCTTTACAAACTACCACACTGGACATAACTACAAATGTTGAAGCTCGGCTCAAAATAATGAATGGATTGAGCTGGCATTTGGTGGAGGATGCTTATTTGGGCATAGGAAAGCACTATAGAAAATGGATACTATTTGGACATGCCAAAGTGGTACTTCCTTCACAAACTGCTGCTCTGAACAGAATAGGAAAATGAATATTGTTGAGTTATTTTTGAACTAGGCGAGGAAGGTTTTTGACATATTTGATGAAGATATGATCCAAACAATTTATGAGATTTTTTTGGAAATTTTTGGAATGACAGAAATATAGGTTGCTTCACAACCTAGGGCAAAAACTGCCACATAGACATGACACATAGGCAAAACTGATGAGGTGGCGCCTAGTCATCACAACCAACCACAATCTACAAGGCTATGACCATCTATTTTGGTCGTTAACAACTAGAAATAAGGCAACGGCCAACCCTGTTTGCTTTGTGACCATTTGGTGTAAGGAAATTACGACCTTTCTGACCAAAATGGTCGCAATGGTTTAGGGTTTGGAGCCCCCCGAACAGGTTTTGACCAATTGGTCTCAAATGGTCATAGATCTATGACCAATTCTTTCAGGATCACTCACAAAAGGTCACTAGTTGACATATTTCTTGTAGTGAAACCCATAGTAAACATGGGCAGCGAGGATAGACTAGAGTTGGTAAGTATTAGTCGCGCTCCCGACGACATGAATCTACATCGCCATGGCCCAACCCGGCCCGCTACCGTGTTACAAAGGGGAGCCGAGTCCAGAGTGGTAGGAGCCCGGTCCCCTATTGGTAGCCCACTCTGGACTCGGCTCCTACCACTTCCTAACCCTCGGTCGGTCCCATCCCCATGGAAATGGAAGAGATCCCAATTTGTAGTTGAGCAAGTCCGCCACTTCCTAACCCTCGGTCGGGCCCATCCCCATGGAAATCACTTCGCATTTGCCATTTGGATAGATGAGAGATGCCAGTCTTAAGAATGGTTGCTAAGTGAAAATCAGGATGCATCACCGACAGGCGCGCTGCATATAGTTGGCACGTTGTGCGAACAAGAAGAAAATAAAATGTATTTGGTCCGAGCCAAGAACGAAGAGGGTGGGGTGGGGGGGGGGCACTAAGTTGTAGAAACAATAGGAAACAATGAGAAAGTTACAAAATCTGACATAGGATTTTTAAGCGTGCCAAATTAGACATTTTATATGGCAAACTACGTTATGGCGCCATGACAATACCCTTCAACAAGAACGACAAAAATTGAACATGGTGAGGATTTGCCATTCTCGCTGAAGGGAATTGTCATGTCGCGACAATGTAATTTGTCATAAAAAAACTTCTGATTTTCCATTCTTAAAAACTTGACGTCAGATTTTAGCAAAACACTGAATTTTGCTACAAATCAAACATCAAGTTTTTGAGCATGGCAAATCGAACGTTTTTTATGGCAAATTTAGTTGTCACGGAGATTTCAATTTTCTTTAGCAAGCATGGCAAATCGAACGTTTCCTATGGCAAATTTAGTTGTCACGGGGATGTCAATTTTCTTTAGCGAGCATGTCAAATACTTGCCATGTTCAGTTTTTTGTCGGGATTTGCCATGCTTGCTAAAGCAAATTGTTATCCTCGTGACTACTAAATTTGCCACAAAAAACATTTGATTTGCCATGGTTAACAATCTGACGTCGGATTTTGACAATACTGAATCCTATTTAACGCCCCTTGCGCCACTTGGGCAAAACGGTAAATGACGCACACCCCCAAGTCCACAAAGGTTTCCTAAGTGGGCCGGCCCATTAGGGCATCGCCTTATACACCAGTTTGGTTTTCTCTCTATGTCTTTTTATGTGGGGTTTTCCACCTGTCTTTGTTTGGTTTTTTATTATTATCTTTTTAACTTTTTTGGGTTTGTTTTCTCTTTTTTCCTTCTTTTCCCCATATTTTCTATTTTCAATATTTTTAACCATTTCTCAAACTCATGATCTTTTTCACTCTTTATGAATTTCTTCAAATCCACAAAATTTATCAAATTTCACGTACTTTTAAAATCCATGATTTTTTTTAAAATTTTGTCAAATTATTTTAAAATATAGTGAACCTTTTTCCCTTTTTTTACTTTTTAAATGCATGAACTTTTTCAAATTCTTGAACTTTTTCTGCAATAAAGAACTTTTCAAACCCGTGAACTTCTCTCAAATTCAGGATCGTTTTTTCAAACTCGCAAAATTTACATAGAATATTGTGGACTCTCTTTAAAATCCATTTTTCTGAATCATGAACTTCTTTTAAATAAGTTGAATTTTAAAATTCCGGATTTTTTTTTCAAATGCATGAACATTTTTCAAATTTATAAACATTTTTTAGAATCCGCGTTTTTGTGTCAATTTCGTAAACTTTTCCAAAATCTTAGAATTTTTTGTAGGTAACCTATCAACGATCAACGGTCAACCTGTTAACCATTGAGTGAGCGAACAAAGCAGGGCGCGACGATCGTTCACGGTAGACATCTAGATGTGCCGGCCCATGCAGTGAGTGCCGATTCGCTCCTGTGGCGCTTAAAGCACTAAGTAGGAGGTCCCCAAAAAGTGCCTTAAGCGCCAAATAGGGATTGACCTCATCCAGAAAAGCCCAACAAATAGGTTTGACACGGCACACTATTTAAGGCCTAAAGGCATCTCCAACGCTAACAGGCAAATGGACACCGTAAATGTCTGTTTTATGTCCGGGCATGGTCTGCGGACATGATACCAGAGTGAGCCATCCAATACTAATCACAAAGTAATTTGGTTAGGAGGAGAGAAAGTAAGTGGCGACCATGCATGTGATGTGATATTTGTGGTTTGGTGTCCGGTTGAGAGGAGAGGAGAATCATGCATGTGCGGTCATGAGGAGAGAGAAGAGGCGGACCGTGCATGTGATTGGTCAAATGCATGTCCGGGCTCCGGCAAAGCTCCATCCATTAGAAGAAAAATGCATTCAACCCCCTATGTATGCGCTACAGATTATGAGAATCACTATGGTTGTGGATTCTTGAAAATCAGTTGTATCTGTGGATTCTTGAGTACGAGAAGTTGATTGTTTATTTACCTTTGGTTGGATGGTTGAAGGAACTGCAGGGGTTGTGATATGTCAGTACTGTCCATGAATGCATTTTTTTTTGAGTTTAGACTGAAATGACATGTGCATATACTACTCCCCCCGTTCTTTTTTATAAGACGTTTCAAACAGCTGAGATTGAACTGTTTTGGGTATTGTCTGAAATGTGTACAACGTCTTATAAAAATAAACAGAGGAAGTAGTACTATTTAAGTGCAAATGAACCGATTTCACATTCATCTCACAAGGTCATGCAAAGGAAAGGCTCGTCCAATTCACTAGTACATGCAAGAAAAAGAAGCAATCAAGACATGGAATGGTTTGATGATGCATTCGTACGGGCAAGAAAAAGGAGAAATCACGCCAACGTCGTCCACAACGCATGAGGGCTGGCAAGAAGCAGCACCTGTACAGGTACGTGCAGGTTATGCACTGCTTCAGGGAGGTCAACGGCTCCAGCTTATGCATTCGTGCTCTTCTTCGGCGGCTCTTCTGCAGTCGTGCACGCGGAACGCGTATGCTCGCCCGCCCCCTGATCCGATCCGGCCGCCGCTCTCCGTGTCCACGCGCCGGCCCGCCCCTGGACGCCTCGCTGCCGTCTAGCTTGGCCGCTCCCGACCTTTCATCCGCTTGGTCGTCCTTCACCACGCCGGCCTGCTGGTTGCCCTGATTTGATCCTCCGACGGGAGCTCATGGGCACCACGGGAGGAGGACCTGTGGGAAAGTAGGCCGATGTCCATGGCCAGTGCACCTCTCGTACACCGACGGGAGAGACGAGAGGGGAGAGGAGTAACTGGAGGATGACGGGACGAGCAACGGCGGCTGTTGGAGGAATAGCGAGAGAGAGACAATGGCTGGGACTACTACTTGAATGATTTTTTTTGTAATTTTGACTGCAAACCAGGGCAAGGACTCAAACTGCAGAGTCGGCCGTTGAATCGCCCAACTCGCAGCTTCTGAATTCCCTTGCCTGGTAGTTCAATCTTCAGAATCGATTCTAGCATGAATCTGATGTGTTTATTTGAGATTCTGATTTCGAAAGGTCTAGAATTAGAGAAACCAGTAGCTACAGCCAAAACAGAGACCCCAGACTTAACCCCTTTCTTTTCAAAAAAAAAAGGCCCCAGACTTCCTTATTTTTTTTCTGGCATAGCATAAACAATTCATGCAATCTAACAAAATACGAACATTGCCTTATCCATGATGGATAAACTCATGTATCTTCTCAAAAGGAGTTTCCCCATTACATCAAATATTGACGGGCGTGGCATTGCCTGCTTTCGTGGTCTAGGTTATTTGAATTTATTTTTTCTTCTTCTTTAGAGCATGCAAATTGTAGCGGCAGTTGGGCCTAACAATTGGGGTTGCACGCCGGGCAATTTGCTTTACACTCGTCTCGTGTACGCCAGCATGGAAGATCCGGCAGCGTAAGGCAGCACATGCATTGGTCCCAAGAAATTTTGTCGCTTTTGGACTTACAATCCCGTTCGACACAAAATTTCAGGGTAAGCCTGCTCTCATCTAATGACGAGTATAATATAGGATCGTTAGCACTTGAGTTGGCATGATGGTCACCGTGGCTCCTTCCATCCATGAGGCGGCCTATTATTTGCAATGTGTTTGTCAGTGCAACAAACATAAAAGTATTCACCTGATGGAGAAAATACACGCAAGAGTTCTCCTTTCTTACACTGCCCAATCACTACAAGATAGCCTATGCACAAAAGAGCAACCATGAACATCAAGCTGCTCCCCTTCATATCTGAGCTTTATCTATTGCTGGATGAAATTTTCTATGTGAGAGAGCACGAAAGTGTAGCTGGCAATGATATACATATATAGAGTACGAGATATATACGTAATTAGTAACAAGATTGAGACTTATCTCTTGCCTCGATATATATAGAGTACGAGATATATACGTAATTAATAACAAGATTGACACAAGCCAATTTGACATGTTTTCTCTTTGCATGTAAAGATAGAAAAAAATGAAAGAATTAATTATTACCAATATATAAGTTCGAGTTGGAGAAATTCAACTAATTATTACCAACTAGCAAAAAGGCCCGTGCGTTGCAATGGGATAATAAAATTATAGTCTTTAAATCAAGTTCCAAATATTCACTATGTGTATATAGACGTATTTTTTGTGCACCAACCGGCGCGCATGTGGACATAAGACACGTGCATTCTAACATGCTCACAATTGATCGATGTTGAACTTGATTCTTGATGCGTGTATATTTTTGAAGTACATATGTGCATGAGAAGGAAAAGAAAAGGACGGTCTCATGATGTATAAAAACTGGAGGGCTCTATGACATACGCATAATTAGAAGGAAGGAACTCTCTTTTTTTTTTTTACTTTTACGGGTGCTGTTGTGGCTAATTTAGTTCAACTTTAGGGGCATTTTCGATGACAGATGAGAAATTCAGAGAAATAATTGATGAAGAGTTTATTTTTACTTATGCGTGGCGGGGTGGGTAATTTACTTCAACTTCAGCGGCAATTTCAATGACTGAGAAAAAAAATCAGAGACACAATTAATGAATAGTTAATATGCCCGTGCGTTGCCACGAGGCAAAGGTGATCAATGCCTCTAAATATTTTGTGGCAAGCACTAAAGTTCCTCTCCCTTTCCCACTTCTCGGTGTTGTTGACCGCCTCTTTGTTTACCGATATGTTATTCATTGTTTTGCCGGCTCCACCAGATACGTGGGCAGGCCCAAGTTTTTAATCTGAAAATGAGACAGATCATATTTGATATTTAAGATAAAATTTGTGATAGAAGCGTCTATGTCAACGCTAGTGATACTCACCAGCGGTGGACCGGGTCAATATCCTCCTAGAGGCACGAGGACATAAGCGTTCGGATTGGCAGTAGTCGTCCTACAAGAAGTTCCGATCATTTTTGTCTATGTACTGTTGGTGATTTTGTAGAGTTAAGCTGGAGAAAAATACCGATGTTTGCAAGTATAAGTCATTTGAGCTCTTCCTACCCAAGGATTGTAATTTCGAAACACTGGGATTATTCAAAAATTTCGATACAACAACATTGTCTTGCTATTTATTATGATACCTTGCATAGTACCTCCCAGTTTTTTTCTTAATCCACGGATAGGTCTAACCACAATATGAGTAGCATTTTTATTTTTTTTGCACAAGAAAAAAAATTGGCTGATGCGCCATGGGGATGCGGTAGTTTTTTCTCTGCCACTCTCTCTACTAGTAGAAAGCCCGTGCGTTGTCACGGCATTTAAAATATTTTAGCTAGAGTTATATATAAACATAATGCCTTTCAAATTTCACATGTATAGAAAAAATAGCTAGTAACAATCGGGTAATAATTAAAATCCACTTCACTTGAAATGAAGTTCATAAAAAAAAAGTACATAGAGAGCAATGTTCCAAAACTAATTAATAATCTGTAAAAATTTAATATCTACGTGATGCACTTAAGATATTCTTGCACAATATCAGAAATGTTGTTTTTAGCTTCATTCCTATGATATTTGAGCAAATATAATAAAAACTTCTTCCTCAACTTATAACCATCTTGCAGAAGCAATATATATATATAGTTAGCACGAATATTTCACATGGAAGTCTAAGAATATGCAACGGAGAATACTCATCATACAAATCGGACGAACTAAATCTTTATCGTTCCACGAGAACATAAAATCATAAATAAAATAGCCAGACACATCCCTGCAATTAAATATATTAGTACTATCTTGAATATAGTGATAACAAAAATATATACTTGTACCTCGAAAGTTATGATAATGAAATATATAAATTTACCAGTCCGTGCTCGTTGGAATACCAGCCGAAAATATACGTTGCCAGCTAGATATATCAGAATTCCAGCCGGATTGCGCTATTTCGAGTGCGTCGTTGAATTCCCTTCCAATTTTTGCAATTTCTCTAAATGTCTTAAAGTTTTGATCTCTGGCAACTGTGATGTATGAAGTGTCCAGAATGTCTATACGACGTGCATGTTTGTAGATGGCGTATAAGATGTATGGGTCGATGAATGCCATTGGAAGATAAATCTACAAGTCATAGCTATTAGAAACCATAAATCATGAGAACAGTGGACCAGATACCTTACTTATCAAGTTGCACGATGAGATGTTGTTCTCTACCCAGGCCAGCTATCAAACAGTGTTGTCACCATCAGAATATTTGGCTTCACACTGAATATTATATCTCGTGTTTTTTCACGCTAAACTTTAGATCTCGTGTTCCTTTACATTGAATATTATATCTCGTGTTTCTTCACGCTAAACTTTAGATCTCGTGTTTCTTTATGCTGAACGTTAGATCTCGTCTTGAATCTAACGTCGTCGACTTAGTAAATGCATAATGCATATTAATATTGAAGATGAAATTAATTGCACCTTGATATTAGATAAGACATGTTATTAGTCACACGCTATAGACGAGCCATAAATAATATGTATCGCTTGCAACACGATTTCAGACAAAAAAGGTAACTCTTTAATATATGACTGCAACAAACATAATGGAAAACAATTGCGGTGTAGCTTAAAAAATCAAACTAACACAAGACGTGAATAACTTCTCCCATTCTATTGTGTTGGTCATTATGGATGACGTGGCTGGTGGGATTGCACTAAGAACATTCACTTATGATACCGAATTTTCTATTCCCTCTGTTCGGAAATACTTGTCGAGAGATTGATTGTATCTAGATGTATTTCAATTCTAGATACGTCTATTTTCATCGATTTATGCGACAAGTAATTTCGGACGGAGGGACTACTAAATACCTACAATTATTTAAAAGAATAAGTGAAATGAAATTCATTCTGAGCAGTAGTAAAAAGATTCAAAATAATGGGCATAACTTGTTAATAGAATAATATAGACAGTACAGGATCCTAGGATCCTCTTCAAGAATTCAGGATAAAAAACACAGTACAAGAGCCTTAAAATAATAGAGAATTTCTTATGTGACTTCTTCTTCTCTTGCAACCTCTTCTTCTCTGGATCTTGGTTCTGCCCTCAACAGAAACTTCATCATCTTTTCAGATACATAACAAGACGCTTTAGCCACACAAAAAATCCATCTGATCAAACTATAAAGGGCGTCTGGTCAAAAGTATCAAAACAATATGTAGAGGCCTAAAATCTTGGTTGCCTTGCCAGTAGGCACTCACAGTTTAATGTTTAAGCATATACTCTCTCCGCCCGAAAAAAGTTGTCCCAAGTCTGTTCCTCAAATGGATGTATCTAGCACTAACTTGATGCTAGATACATTCATTTGAGGGACAAGTTTTTTCGGACGGAGGAAGTATCATTGATCCTAGAAGTCCCATGACTGAACAAAAGGTTGTTAAGCTGCCAGCAGCATCCGTGTACTGATGAGTGATGAGATTTTAGCATCTATATTCATGCAAGTTTTATTACCTAATTTTGGATCAATGAAAAATGTAAACGGAAAGAGGAAAGGCAAAAATAGTATCACGGAGACATAAACAAAGCATGAAGTGTATAGGAGGAAATCGTATAAGTGCATGCTGGATATAGAGATTTGTTAGCTCAGGCCAACAATTTCCTCATTCTGGTCTACACATTCAAAGGTTGTCGACTTGTTAATTTAAGTTGCTCTTATCAGCCTATAAAGCAAATACATATCTCTAATGAAAACTCAATGCATGGAAAATTAGCATATCCACATTCGACAATAACAAGTGGGCCCTACCATATCTACAGTAGATGAGGAACAATGGCTAACATGTGCTGCTCCCAAGTGGCTGCACAGATGAAGTGGTGCTGCCGACCAGAGTGGAGTCTTCCCACAGAGGTTTTTACGAGTAGGACAACCTTCTGGATTATTTTTATTTTTTTAGAAAAGGAGGATTACCCCGGCCTTTGCATCTGGGCGATGCATGCAGCTATTTTATTAATTATTCAAGGACAACCTTCTGGATGGAGTAGACACCATGTGCTCGGATACCTTGACCATCTGCCCATCTCCGTAGGATATATATCCCTTCCCACCGTGGTGCCCCTGCTGGAGAATGGTCATAGCTGCAATAGTGGTGGTAATGAGGTTCCTTTGGATATATAGGACCCACAAATTAGTTTTTGCTCCGCATACCTCATGGGGAACAACTTGGTAATGCAGCTAATGCTCCATGAGGGAGACATGTGTTGGGGAACGTTGCATAAAATAAATTTTTCCTACGTTCATCAAGATCAATCTATGAGTTCATCTAGCAATGAGAGAGAGGAGTGCCTCTACATACCCTTGTAGATCGAGAGCGGAAGCGTTCAAGAGAACGGGGTTGAGGGAGTCGTACTCGTCGTGATCCAAATCACCGGAGATCCTAGCACCGAACGGACGGCACCTCCGCGTTCAACCCACGTACGGTCAACATGATGTCTCGTCCTTCTTGATCCAGCAAGGGGGAAGGAGAGGTTGATGAAGATCCAGCAGCACAATGGCGTGGTGGTGGATGCAACAGGGATCCGACAGGGTTTCGCCAAGCGACTACGGGAGGGAGAGGTGTAGCAAGGGGGGAAGGGAGGCGCCAGGTGTCGGGGTGCGGCTACCCTCCCACACCCCTCTTTATATAGGGACCCCAGGGGCGCGCCAGCCCTAGGAGATGGGATCTCCTAGGGGGGGCGGCGACCAAGGGGGGAAACTTGCCCCCCAAGGCAAGTGGAGGCGCCCCCTCACCTAGGGTTCCCAACCCTAGGCGTAGAGGGGGGCCCAGGGGG